TTTTTTTTACTCTTACCATCTTTGAAAAGGAATTTTTTCGACTGGGCGGCAAACTCCGACTGGTCAGTGATCTTGTGCCGGGCTTCGAGAACGCGCCACGGAACCAATCATAAGGATTTCCGGCATCCTCGACGGATGCTTAACCGTTCTTGTCATCTCTTGTCATATCTTTGCATCTCTCGTTTGGGGTTACATCCGAGGGCACGCTAACCCTTCCCCATCGTGCCCTCCATCGGTTTCTCGCCGTAATTTTGCCGGCGATGGAGCCTCCCAGCTTTTCGTTGATCGCATAGGTCGCTTCGAATGATAAGACGGTCCCGCATCGGATCCCAGACCAGGCTTTCCCACTAGGAACGGGGAATATAAGGTGGCTCTCATTTCCTTCCTGAGTTCTTGACCTCGTGCGCAACCGTTGAGACGAATTCCTGTCCCGCAAAACTATCCCCTCTTACTTCTGGGGATTTTTTTCGCCTGGTCTCCTTCACAATGTCTTCAGATCGTGATGTTGAGGTGACTCAGTAAGTGTCTTCTTTTGTCTTCCTCAGTTCTTCCTGCACTCTTGTTCACTACTCATCTTGTTCCTCCATTCACGACTAACCTCTACGCAGACAACAGGCCCAATACAATGGCACACATGTAATCGATGAAAAGGACGGCCTCGAGGCGAACGAAAAGGCTCTGGGGCCTACCGCAGATGGCGAAGAGCCCACACAAGATGAAATCAAGAACCTGCGTCATATTGCGGAGAACTTGCCCGTCTCTGCCTGGCTGGTCGCCATTGTCGAACTTTGCGAACGTTTCACATATTACGGTATGAGCGGTTTGTTCCAGAACTACGCGAACCTTCCTCTAGATGGTAGCCAAGGACGTGGTGCGCTAGGCCTCGGTCATCAGGGTGCAACTGGTCTTACCACCTTCAACCAGTTCTGGTGCTACGTCACTCCCATTGTTGGTGCTATTGTTGCCGATCAGTACCTTGGAAAATACAAGACCATCGTTGTCTTCTCCATTATCTATATGATTGGTTTGCTCATCCTGGTGTGCACTTCGATTCCCTCGTCTCTTGAACATGGTGCTGGTTTGGGAGGCTTCATCGTCGCCATCCTGATCGTTGGCCTGGGAACTGGTGGTATCAAGAGTAACGTGGCCCCTCTGGTATGTAATCACCTACGATCCTTGGATACCGACTCATGCTAATATTCATGAAGATTGCCGACCAATACAAGCGGAAGAAGATGGCTATCAAAACCATCGCCAAGACTGGCGAGCGTGTTGTCATTGATCCTGCCCTGACTATTCAGCGTATCTACATGATTTTCTACGGCTGTATCAACGTTGGTTCTCTCTCGTTGCTGGCTACTCCTTACATGGAGAGAGATATCGGCTACTGGTCTGGTTATCTGCTTTGTCTGTGCATGTTCGCCTGCGGTTCCTGCGTGCTTATCATCGGACGCAAGTACTACGTCGTCCGCCCTCCCCAGGGTTCTATCATCACCAACGCCTTCAAGGCGCTGTGGATTATGGTCATCAATCGCAACATGGACGCACCCAAGCCCACCTGGCAGGCCGAGCATGGTGGCCGCAGCCCCAGGACCAACTTGCCTTGGGACGACCACTTCATCGATGAGCTCAAGCGTGCCCTGGTTGCCTGCAAAGTGTTCGCCTTCTACCCCATCTACTGGGTCGTCTACGGTCAGTTCTCGAGTAACTTCGTTACTCAGGCCGATCAGATGGAGGGTCATGGTGTTCCCAACGACTTGATGCAGAACTTCGACCCTATCTCCATTATCGTCTTCATCCCGGTTCTGGAACTGACAGTCTACCCGGTGCTCCGCCGTTTCCACATCCAGTTCCGCCCTATTACCCGTATCGCTCTGGGTTTCATCGTCGCCTCTTTGGCCATGATGTACGCCGCCATTGTTCAGCATCTCATCTACTCTGCCGGACCCTGCTACGAGAGCCCTGGCTGTGATGCGTCCATCGTCAACGGACAGACCACTGGCAACCACGTGCACATTGCTATCCAGACCCCTGCCTACGTGTTCATCGGCCTTTCTGAGATTTTCGCATCGGTGTCCGGTCTTGAGTACGCTTACACCAAGGCACCCCCAACCATGAAGTCGTTCGTGCAGTCCATGTACCTCCTCACCAACGCCTTCGGTGCCGCCATTGCTGAGGCCCTTACTCCTGCCGCTTATGATCCCGCCATCATGTGGATGTTCGTCGGCCTTGCGGTTGCTTCGTTCCTCGCGGGTATCATCTTCTTCATCGTGTACCGCCATCTGAACTACACAGAAGACGAGATGAACGCTCTCGATGCCGATGATGATGTCGTAGCTGCGGCTCAGCAGGCGGAGGGCGAGAAGAAGAAGGAGGAGAACTACTAATCTCGTTTTGTACTATAATATTTTCCTTTCTCGTTTATTTTCACATAGATACTAATCTCTCGTTCCTGACCCGTGGTCGGACATACTTGATCTTGCGCGGGCTCGCGTAATAGCACCTGCAGAGCAGATGAGACGAGTATAACGAGATAATGTATATACGAATCACGTTCGATCACGTTGAATCAATGAACACTTGACTCATTCCAAGAATTTGCCTCTCTTGCATCCCAATGACTCAGTAGAACCAGAACCACATGAATTTTTCCGTACCAAACCAAAGACTTGGATCCCGGAGCTGGACCGATGGAGCGTGTCTTACCATGTGGACCCGCACAATTAAACAGACCCCGAACGGATTAAAACAGATTAACCTTGGTGGGACCACCACGTTTTTGATGACAAGATTCCATCACAAATCCTCAAGCTCCCTCGCTATCTAAGTACTAAAGTCTAATACACATGAGACATCTATTAAACTTAAAGTACGAATTAACTCCGGGTGACGCCGGGATGGCCACAAAATGTCGTGGCCTTTTTTTTAAGGTACATTTTCGTCGCATCTATGCTTTAAAACAGCCACAGATAAAAAATTTCACACAGTAATGGACAGCGATGTCAAGCGGATGAACAGACACGCTTTACCGCTTTTAGTTATTCGCGCTGCATTCATCACAATTCGCTTCTATCCAAATTAACCAGTGATATCTAATCTCGTCTTCTGCCTACAACCCAAGCTTGACAAGCGTGCAGCTGAAGAAGGCCCATATCCTTCGCTAGTAGAGCTATTTTAATTAAATTAGTAGGCTTCCCACCAAAGTAACTATTAATATAGAGCTTCTGGGACTAATACTATAAAATATTCAAACATATCTGTATATTGACCTTTTCCTTCTCCACCTACAACTATCCATTCAGTATTGACAGGCATTGGTATTACAATACATCCGGCACACATAAAACATAGAACGCGAAGATAAAGATCATCCTTGAGGTCAGGAAAAAGTGTCTTCAAGAAGGATGGAAATTAGAACAAGCATCACAAACCTGTCTATTGATCTTCTAATGCACCACCAAAATTGATTGTGCCCCAGTCACCTTTCATATCATATCTACTCCGTACATAGTCTAGAATACCTTACCTATCAACCTCAACTCCATAACCACACCCAACCAATAAAAACCCCCCAAACCCAGATCAGGTAATCCAACCCTCTAGCCCTAGACTAAACCCAGGAACCGCCCACCCACCGAACCACCCCGAAAGAACAAAAACGAAGAGAAACAAGCCCGACACAAATCCCCACCCACAAACGCCTTCATCCCCACCGCCCGAACCTCCCTAATGCGGACTAATGCTAGGGCCAAGCTAAGCTTAAATTGTGCAATATGGAGTAGACAATCCCAGTAGCCAATGGGAAGTCGGAGGACGGAACTCCGGCAATCAGATGTTAATGTTTGTCATCTTTTCGGAGAGCAAGCGGAACTCCGGGTTCCTTTCCTCAAGCCCTTACCAGCCATCTGATTTTTCTTTTTCTTTTTCGTCCGCGATATGGTATGGTATAAAGTGGGTTTTTATTGAAGGGGCGTTTAGGGCAGGGTAGTGGTATCATTTATGGATTTTGCTGGTGGATTAGGTACATATATACGAGGTTTTATTGAGCTCCTTGCTTATACGAGTTGCTGAGGTGGTATGAGTCTACTCCCTATGAGATGGATATACGTGAGTACACTCAGATATATTTGATTTATCGTCCTTTGATTGTGATCTGAGAGACAAGCTGTAATCTCTTGCTTTGTTCAGTGGATTGTAATTCATCCTGAGTACTAATATATAACACCGCTGTAATTAGAATATTCTATTATTCCTACGGCCTTTCATATGATAGCAGGGACTTAAAATAAAGAATATTTAATATTCTGTAATAACTCAGTTCTATAATTACTAGCGTATTTAACTAGTTAGCCTTATATAATAAATATTAAATATAAAGAGAAGGAAGCAGGAAGAATTCTGATAACAATGTTAGTTTTGCGGGGAAGCCCGTAGATCGTATGATACTTGGTGAAGAGGCCGTCAAATATTATATTCCGTAGTAACTGATAGTAATAAATAAATAATTATTATAGAATTATAAAACTCTCATAAGAACCTTGTAAAGGTTCAGATTCAGATTCAGATTCAGATTCTAGACTAGAATAACCTAAAGAAATAGAATAAAGAAGTCGTGGAGATCTTGCTAGATCACCCCGCCATTCCATCATGCATGTAGCCTTCGCCCAGGCTGGAGAGGACTAACCTCGGTAAGGAATCATGCTCTTTGTTTCCATGACCCCTCTGATCTCTTGGAATGTTTCTTCGTTATCCGCCTCCGTTGTTTCGATCAGGTTTAGTTGGTATTCCAGCTAGCTAATCAGTATAACTCAATAGCCACCAACCGTAAGAATAGGCCATCGCTGCCCTTCGTCTCAGAGAGGGTCGGTCATGATGGCAAACATTGAACGTTCTTATTCCCAGAGCTAACCCGACGCCGAAGGGTATTTCGGTCAGTTTGGTGTCAATCATTACCCCCCTGGGGTTCGACCGGCGCTAGAAGAATTGACCAGCACTTATCAGAAGCTGCGTCAATCACCGGAATTCCAGCGCGAGCTCAACAAGGTGCGAATCGGATCGGCTATCGGGCCACATCCCTTCCCCATGATCGTTCGAGACTTTCAGGGTGTAGTTGGCCAAGAGGCCCGCGAGCAATTCCTTTCGATCACGAATGGCAGCTTGCCCGAGCATGTTGTTGCCTGCGTTGCAAGTGGCTCGAATGCGATGGGTATGTATTCAGGTTTCCTTTATGATCCGGGGGGTGGTTCTGCACACAGTGGAACCGCTGGGCAAATCCGATGAACTCGGCCAACACGCGGCGACATTATCCTATGGCAGACCGGGAACGTTGCATGGTGCCCGATCGATTGTGCTGCAGCAAGATGATGGTGCGCCTGCGAGTGTTTCATCCGTGGCATCTGGGCTGGTCTACCCCGGAATCGGCCCGGAGATTGCGATGCTGCATCAAACCGGTCGGCTTTCCGCCGCAGCAATTTCCGATGAGGAAGTCATCAGTACCTTTTTCCGCATGGCAAAATTCGAGGGAATCATCCCTGCATTGGAAAGTGCGCATACGGTAGCGTTCGCGATCAGATTGGCATCGCAGCGCCCTTTGTCTGAACGAATCCTGGTCAATCTTTCGGGGCGCGGCGACAAAGACGTTGACTACGTGCTTGAGAATTATGGGACAGGTGTATCTAGTCTTTAGCACACCAATATAGACCTGTGCGATGCTATGAATCTTGGTATCTATGGTAGAATCACCTTGAACTAGTTGTTGAGAGATAACAACCCCAGTCGACTACCTAAAGTATTCGGACACTCAAGGGTGTTGGTTGCTACTTAACTAAACAAGCCTTTATGTTCAGAGATGCTTGTCACTCATTCCCACAATCTGCCGCTCTCCGACAACTTCAATCGACTTGATAATCTCATCTAGCCTATTCTTTTCCTCAGCAGATATCTCGACCACCTGGCAATTCTCTTCCACGCGAGACTGCACTGTGGCCCCGGGGATGGGGATTATCGTGCCGCAATTGTCTGTATTGGAATGGGCCCGAATCCATGCTAGAGCCAGCTGGGCTGAGGTGGCACCTCGCTGCTTAGCAAAGGTGTTGATCTTTTCAACCAGTTCCCAGGTTTTTGTGGAAGTTCTATCACAACCGTCAGTATCTATGGAGAAAGAGGAGGAGGGAGGCTGAGAAGGGGATAGAAGAGGCGAGGTGAAAAATACCTCTGGCTGAAACCTGCCAAACAGGTGCCGAATATCGCCCTGAGGAATATCCTCCAGCTTTGTGACGTGTCCCGTCAAGAATCCCTACCCCAGCGGAGCATAAGCAAGAATCGTCACACTATGCTCCTTACAAGGCCTCTGCCACCCAGTTAGTGAGCATCTCTGTACTCCACAGAGAGAACTCGATCTCCACAGCAGTAATAGAACACACTGCTGCTGCTCGGCGGATGGTGGTGGCCCCGGGTCAGCGTGGCGGCGTCGAAGCAAGCACGCACGAAGAGGGTCACTTTGGGTGCATCCTCCGGGTACTTCTCGAAGTAGCGTCGCAGCAGCCATAGACCGGCAGTAGGAGGCTCGGGGGGGGGGG